ACTGCTAAAATTCAATTAAATTTCATATTTGATTTGTATTATTCAGAATCCAAAAATAGTACTGGTTCATTACTTGAATTTGGTGGAAGAATGCAACAAACCCATCACAGTTTCTGTGTACTCATCGCCTGACAGCCGTGATGACATCTCACAACAGCTGGAAGCCATCTGTAAGTAGTGAGGGTGTTCCTGAACCCTTTGACCCCGAAGAGTGATCAGCATCTAATTTCTCCTTACAATATCACCCCAGAATCACACATCAAGGTCATGAGAATAAAGGAAATGATCACCAACTGAAGAAGCTCTTTATTATTAGACAAATTCTCCATGTCAGCACCTTAGTAAATGTATAGAGAACGGTGTGGAAAATTCACATCCTGATGTTAGGAAAGAAGGGTTTGAAGATGTAATGTTAGGAAGACGGTTTTGCATTCCAAAATTTACATCCAGTGTATGTCATCCTCGCTACATCTTGAATTGATGTAACAAGCAAAAACACTGCGAAATAAATGGGGATTCTGCTGAATGCCATGTTTATAACCTCCATGAAACTTTTAAAAAGATTTTATGACATGTATTCATACACACTTCTATCTTCTTGGGAAGCATACTGGTCAAAAAAAAAGAGCATCTCTTCGTCCGCTCCAGTATTCTAAAGCAACAAGGATCATTGTTTTGAGTTCACGGCCAAAACTTGCTTAACATGACAATTTCTTTGTTGTCTTCCAGATTCGGGAGTTTCGTCGGATGTAAAGCCTGAGGTTACGGTCAGTAAAGGAAAACGGTTTTTCAGCGCGACACATTGATTAAAATTTATGGAAGCGGCGGTGGCCTAAGTTTTAGTGTGCTGGACTTGCGGTCGAGAGGTCTTGATTCGAGACATGGCTAGGTTTCTGTATTGAATGCTTGTTCAAAGTGTCTTAATTTACAGTTGCTCCCCTCCCAGGAACTATACCAATAGACAACAGGTATTAGAGAACTGTCTGGAAAATTTTTCAAAATACTGAGGGTTGGAGTGCCATGAATTAAAATCCCGTCCAGGAGGGGAGTGGGGTAGCAATACTCTTACTGAACAGCTGTAGTTAAGCTCAGGTTGGGGGATTGGCCACTTGGCTTGGATGAAAGTGCAACATTTTTTTTCTACTGGTGAAACTCTCCTAAGACTTGAATCAGTTATGATTAAAAATCTTCTAAAATTCTTTTGGATTTTAGGTAACAGAGGAAAGTCCCCCCGGATCACCGTCATCTTCAGAAGAAGGCGAGAACTCGTCTTCCAAAGGCAAACGGCAGCGGAAACGGAACAAGGCGATTTACAAAATCTCCTTTTCTCCAAACAAGAGTTTTCAAGCCAAAGCTCGGGCTGAAAAACTGAACATAAAAGTGATCAAAGTGACTAAGAATAACCAAGGTCGTTTGACCGTGACAGGACACAGAGAGGGTTCGCCATCTTTGGAAGAGAATGCGTTCCATGAAGGGAATGATTCGGGCACAGTTGATGACGTCACGTGCCAGGCAGCCGTCACCCCAAGTAATGGTCACGTGTTCGTCACCAGTCCTTCAAGCTTTTCGCAGCACCAGCCTTTAAGAGACATTTCTATACTTTCGGTAGTGCCCATGGTAACGCATCCTTCGATGTCCACATTATCGTACCAGGTACAAAACTCTCTTGGAGACAAAGGATGTGGGGCAACGAATGTTCCGACCACATCAACTTGCCAATTTCTTCCAGAAAATCACATGTCGAATGCGATCCCTATCAGTCCGCTCTCAGGAGAGACGAATCACAGCGCTGGCATCCAGTGGAATTCGATCGTTTTGAATCCTCGCGTTGCAGAGTTAGGTTCAAGTCCCTCTAGCGACTATGGCAGCTATATGTCTGATGCTGGCGCCCGGCTCAGTTTCTCTGGGTCAGATTCCATGAGTGCTGGTCTTCCAGGGCAAAATATTCAAGATTCCGGGCATGCGCTGTTCGACGGCCCTTTTCGTGTACCACTCCCTGTGGAACGAGAGTCCCGACAGCATTTGACTGATTCAGCAAAAAGTGACGAAGGGGCACCCCCACAGGGCCAGGAACCGTTTCCGGGGGGGCCACAATCTGGTGGAAATGATGTATCCGTGGACATGACAAATTTGTCGCCTTTGGAATCACTTGCGTTCGACGACATGTTTGACTGTGATCTTAGCAATGTGATTCCAGATTGTTTTCCGGACTGCATGAGCGCGTCGTCACCCAAGCAAAGTAGTGATGGTCTGACAGCTTCCATTGGGAGCCCGAAGTCGAGTTATGCCTCTAGTACTTGTACTACATCGCAGCTCTCTTCCAGTCCATACTCTTCCGCTAACCAAGAACAAACCTCTTGTTTCTCTCAAATGACAACTTCCGGTCTGTCATCTACTACGTCTTATGTATTTGTGAAGCCTGTTAGTCCAGTGCGATCCACGGTGGTGACGTCATGTTTCGTTAACGTCAATGAGAACACACTTGAATCATCATCCGGGGCAGTTGTAAGTGAAGCAAGCACTCAGACCTCTCACAATGGCATTCAAGTTTGTAGTGAAGTAAACATGGCAGATGATTCCATTAATCGTACTGTTGCTCAACCAACGGCAAATGAGGTTTGCCTGATTCCTTCTCCTGTTCATGGTTTTGCTCAGCAAACTAGCACTCCGGCCACAAGTGACTTAAATAATAATTCCTCGCGCGCACTCCCCACGGGTAACACAGCTGACAATTTCTCCACGCCTGTAGGGAATCGGGTCGTTCCAGTCTCGGCGCGAATTACCGATTTTTCCCCCGAATGGTCTTACCCCGAGGGTGGGGCTAAAGTACTTATCACTGGCGAGTGGAGGATGGAGCAAGGTTCGTACACTTGCTTGTTCGATGGTTGTAGCGTGCCCGCGATTTTATACCAGTCTGGTGTTTTGCGATGCTTCTGTCCTCCTCACGACCCAGGCCTGGTCACCTTGCAAGTCGCTTGCAATGGTTTTATCGTCAGCAACGCTTGTGTGTTTGAGTATCGTGCGCGTGACTCACCCGTGGTGGGAGCTAGCTGTCACGAGTGGCTCGCCACTGATAATGACCGGTTTAAGCTGGCTATACTTGACCGCCTTGAGAGATTAGAATCCAGATTCCACTCGAACCAGACGAGCAATTCCGCAAACGACACACAACACGGAAAACAATGCGCGACTTTTGAAGATCGACTCATCGTCGCTTGTGAATTTTTCCACCGAACCATAAGCTCTGCTATAAACGCCCCAACAAAGGGGGATAAGCCATTCAGAGGAATGACTCTTCTACACTTATCCGCTGCGCTGGGTTTTAACCGGCTGATATGCACACTGTTAAAGTTATGGCGTGAGAGTGAAAGCCAGCTTGTCAGAGAGGAAATGAACCCGCTCAGGAAGGACGAATTTGCTTGCACTCCGCTGACTTGGGCATGCGCTCTTGGTCAGACAGACACTGCCCACCCGCTGTTAGAGGCCGAACCGAAGGCTTTATTAGAGCCCGATGCGCGAGGTCGTATGCCTTTGCAGCTAGCTAGGGATAGAGGCTTCTTAGACGTGGTTGATCTGATTGAAGACTATGTGATGTCCTCTCCATTCAGGTGGGTTTACTGGCTGTAATATTTTTTTTCCTTCTGTTTAGATGAGCTCAGTTTGCTGGTCTTTCCTGCTTTTCAAAATGGTTTGCTTTTTTATTTCTTTCTTTATTTCTTTCTTTGGGCTAATCTTGTATTTTTTATCCCTTTCCGTCACAGTCGTTCAGTTCTCGGAATGGACCGTGATTCTGACGGAACCCCATCGCCAATGGCCTCATCGTGTGACTCTTTACTGACTCCTGTCCCGGCCCCTAATTCTTGCTCGTTGTTACCAGTTCCTGTGGATGCTGACATGGTTGACCGAGCAAACTCGCCAATGGTCGTTGATGAAAACAAATTGGAGCCTCAATTAAGTAGAAAACCAGCTAAGACTCTGGCAAAAACATTGGTGCATATACGTTCGATGATAAACGAGGCAGAACAGGAGGCAGAGCTAAATCACCGGATATCCGCTCATTTATCTCCGTTACACGAAAACTCAGAACTCATTACATCCGGGACTTGGGGACCGGCAGCCAGGCTGCGCACCTTCAGCTCGGCCTCTTCCCAATCTTCCCCTTTGACGCCATGCTCTTCCAAGTCTTCCCTCTCCCCAGGTTCTCCCGTCTTTCTTAACTCGCCCCATTCCTCTCCTTCTGGACCAGACACGACTGAATTTCAGGAGTTCATTTCAAGTTCTCGTAAGCTGTTGGAAAGAGATTTTTCGGATCTCACGTTAACAGGTAGGAAATCTGTTGGGTTTCGTCGCGTCAAAGAAAAAGAAAAGTCGTCAGCAAATCACACCCTCACTTGAATAAATTTTAGAAAATTGTGGCGCTTGAAATTCAATTGTTCGTTCATGCCCTATGATGGTTGAGTCTCCTATTGGTTAAATAAAGTTAATTTCTAGTTTTGTTGATGAAAGTAATTTCGCAACGTGAATTTCAATTGTCCTTTCAGATCGTGAGCAGTGGGAACTCTACGAAGCAGCCAAGATCATCCAGAATGCCTACAGAAATTACAAGGTTGGGTTAGTTCTCTTAGCTTTCCATATTAACCTTACAGCTCTGATTTTTACGTCGATTTTTTGTAGACAAGGCGCCACCAACAGGAGCAGGAAATAGAAGCTGCCATACTGATTCAGCACCATTATCGTAGATATAAAGAGGTAAGCTACCCAACTTTTGTCAAAAATTCGTCAACCGCTGACTCTCGGCCTAAGTGCGCACGGCTTCTTCGTATTAAGCGCTTGACTGTGCTATTGCCTTGTCAATTGTGACGAAGGGGGAGTAGTTGAAGGGTGATTACATAGCTGGTTTCAAGGGCGGGAGAAAAATGAAACTTACTGACCTGATTTAGCCGGCAGCACCCACTGACCACTCAAGCGCGGGAAAACCTTGTTAGCCCAAGAAAAGCAAAGCAAAACAATTATCTGCTGAGAAGCGTGGGAAAAAATAATTTTAGCAGCCAAGTCATGGCGAATTCTGGAGAGCTAGGAAAATTCTGAAAACCAGTTTACCTAGGATTGGATTGTGGTTCCTCTGGTGCTTTACCAGTGCGTAAGCGTAGCAAGAGTACTATTTTGATCGACTGGGAAATCAACTTGCGTCGGACGATCTGACCCTTTTCGATCCCTCTAATTTTGCTGGGCAAGACGTTGAGCCTCCCAAAGAAACCACAATACAACAATGAAATACGCTGATATTGTGAACTTAGTTCACAGTTGACAACTAAGCGCACTCTTTTATCCTTTTGCAAAATAGTTTATCGCGTTCAAAAAAATGACCCGCGCAGCTCGGATAATTCAGAGCCAGTACCGTACATACCGTGAACACGAAAGGTTCAAGAAGAGTCGACGGGCAGCCGCCATTATACAGAATACTTTCAGAAGTTATCGGGAAAGAAGACGTTCGTCACAGAGGCGACGAGAAGAGAGAATAAACAAACGACAAGAGGCTCGCTACATGCAAAAAGTATCCAACAGGTAACGATGCTGTTTTTATTACTTGATCTTTCGACTGGAGATCTGTGTGACGTTGTTAAGTTCCTTTGTATCGATATCTTTCTGTTTGCCCGATCGTCTTTCCATCTGTCTGGCTGTTTGGCTACAACCTGTCGGCTCGTCCTTTCGTCTGTTAGTTGGTCTGTCTGTCAATTGGTCTGTCTTTCGGTGGTCTGTTTTTCCGTTGGTCTGTCTGTCCAGCCGTCTGGCTGGCTGTCAGTCTGTCAGTTGGTCCTTTCGTCTGTTAGTCTGTCTGTCAGTTAGTCTTCCGTTTGTCTGTCTGTCTGTCTGTGTGTTTGCCTTCCGCGTGCTTACTTGGCTCTCCGCTTTCCAGCTCACCAGACCATTAGTCTGTCTGTCTTTTTTGTCTTGTTTGTGTCTTTAATTGCCTACGTGTCAACCAACGTGACAGTCAGTCTGTTTGTTTGTCTATTTATTTATCTATTGCTAGCGTAGACGTAAGTTGTCAAAAAAAAATCGTACTTACATTTGAGAGTTTATAATCTTTTTGTAACTTTTCTGTTTCCTTTGGTGTGAGATTGTCATCATTTTACCTTCCCTGTACATTTACCATAATTCCTTAGAAAGTTTTTCCCTCGTTTGCAGATCCAAAGATAACACGCATAGCCAGATGTAACAATTTCTTTTTCTTTGAAAGTGAGTAATACTGGAATAGCTGGGATCCGGTTTGCAGTTCCCTGGAAGTGTTTAAAAGAGCGGAATGTCATTGGTGGAAAGCAGTGAGATCAACAATAACCTTCTTGACCAGTTCGTGTTTTAACAGAGTAGCTATTCATACATTAATAATTTATTAATTAATTTGTAATCTCGGTGGAGAAGTTAGCCCTTTTCTGTGGCGTTTTCCAATTTATGGAAATATTTATTCAAGTGAGAGTGGTTTTAATTTATGAAAAAAATCTGTTCAATGTACTCCCCTTCCACCGACCGTGGCCGAACGCTGAAATCTTTTCGTCAAAATGTTGCCTCTTAAAGTTGCGAAAAGTGAGTGAGATGTTTAATTTTTTAGTTGTCACGTGGTATTGAGAGTGGTCAGTTTGGCCAATCGTATGTCTTTGCTTTTATCACGTGATGAGTAGCATAGTGATACGCATGTACCCGTAATATGGGCTTTTTCTAGTCGGTGTGGGAATAACTTGTTTACAAGGTGTATTTTTGCGTTATTTTTTTTAAGAATTGCACATTGTTTGGGTATAGATATTTTGTGGTGAGTGCGATAGACGCGAATATTTATTTACGTAATTGCTCATATCAAGTCTACACAGTGATTTGGACATGATTTTGATATAATTTATCAAGTAGGTTGGTTTTTAAAAATTCCGTTCGAGGTATATGGCGTACGCCGTGAAAAAGTGATAATTTTTGGGGCGTTATTGCCTCTTTGAGGCGTAAATTTCATTTGTAAGTCGAGCTTACTGCATTCATATTGTGATGTCTTCATTCGTGTGACTAGCCACGTCACTCAACCACTCTCTTGGGAAGTATTGCGTGACGAACCATTTCCTGTCTGCAAAGAAGTTTTGTCACGCATGTTTTCGAGAATAGCGATCACTTGGCTTTTGACTTTAGGACATGAGAAATGTCGATCCTTTCTTTCATTGTACTGTAACAATCTAAAGTCGGCTTTTCACACATCGGTTCTGCCTGTAAAATGGATAAAGGGGTAAGTTTCTAAAGAAACTGTGGTGCTGCGTCGGTGGGAGAGTATAGCAGGTAATTTAGTGTTAACAACTGGGTTGAAAACGTAAATTAGCCACCGTAAAGGGTAAAAAAGCTGACGTTTCGAGCGTTAGCCCTTCGTCAGAGCGATTAGAGGAATTGTGGGTTGTGTGTGGTTTATATGTAGAAAGTGGAGCTACGCCATTGGTGGGAATTAGTGACGAGAAAACAGGAATAAATTAGTTGAATGAAAAGCGCTCGTTGATTCCGTGGGGATTAAGGGTGCCGATTTGAAATATAAATTTTTGTTCTAGTGTTTTACGGCTTTCCGAACTGCCTAGATGTAAGGAAAGGCCGCATTATCTGCCTCTCATTATCTCGTCACTAATTCCCACCAATGGCGTAGCTCCACTTTCTACATATAAACCACACACAACCCACAATTCCTCTAATCGCTCTGACGAAGGGCTAACGCTCGAAACGTCAGCTTTTTTACCCTTTACGGTGGCTAATTTACGTTTTCAACCCAGTTGTTAACACTAAATTATCTGCCTGTAAAAGTTCCGTTGCACCTGTATCCGTGACCGCACAATTTCAAATATTTACAACTTCATTTTTTTAAGTCGTTTTTCGCAACGTGCAGACTTTTCTGATTCCAAGAAGGAGCGTTTAAGACGAACACGGATACAGCTCCAACAGTCTTTTCGAGGCGAATACTTGATATCCTCCAAACCTGAAGAAATGGAGTTATCCAAAATACGATTCCGTTATTAGAGCAGTTTTAATTGAATGTTTTAACACCAAAACAAAAGTTATCACAGCGATTAATCAGAAAAAAGATTTTAAGTCATCAGTAGCCAATGAGGACTCCAAGTTAACACAAGCAAACTGCCTGAAGCGCGCGAAAACGCGAATGACAAAGTCGCGATTGTTTTTAGTTTTGCATCTGATTGGTTGAGAGAGTGGTGCGAGTTTTGTGGACCAATCACAAAATGAAGGAAAGGAAAACCAAAATAATATCGATTTACTTTCGACACTAAATTGAAAATGACTCCATCCCAAAAATTCCTCAAAAACTTTTCGTCATCCACTT